ATGGGAGTTGCCCTGTCATGGAAGTATTGTTTTTTTTTTTCTCTCTTCTTTTACTGAGAATTTAGAGGTGGGTCTGCCTTTGGGTCCTGCTCTCTGAATATTTTCAGACCTGTTTTGTAGTCCATAGTTTTATCATACCAAGTTGACTAGCAATTACTTGATTGTGAAGTCTGACCTTTATCCTCCTTTGGTCCTATTTGTAGCTGTCATCTCTATCAATTGCATTGTACTCCCTGACTCTCTAGAGTATATATATATGCATTTACACATATGCACTAGAGAATGTAGAGTCCTATATGTTAGGTAAATGCTGCAGCACAGAGCTACATCTTCAAGCCCTTAATTTTCTGTATGTTTGTCTCTGTCCCTGTCTCTGTCTTTCTCTCTCTCTAATACAGGATCTGTAGCTCTTGCTGGCCTGGAACTCACTATATAGACCAGGTTGGTTTCAAGCTGAGATCTGCTTGCCTCTGCTTCCCAAGTGTTAGGATTAAAGGCATGTGCCATCACAGCCAGCTGGTTACCTTTTTTTTTCTGAGACAGGGTCTTACCAAGTTGCCCAGACCCATGATCCTCTTGTCTCAGCCTTCCGAGGAACTGAGATTATAGACTTGTGGGTCTCCTTTGGGTCCTGCTCTTTGAATACTTCTAGACCTGTTGTGCCTCTTGTCCACAGTTTTATCATACCAAGGTATACCATTCTCTAGTGCATATGTGTGTGTGTATGCATGTATGTATAGAGTCATGGAGTCCTAGAGATTCAGAGAGTACAAGGCAACTAATAGAGATGATACTATAACTAGGACCAAAGGAGGATAAAGGTCAGACTTCACAATCAAATAATTGCTAGTCCACTTGTTTGGAGCTGGGTTATTTTTGTTACTTTTGCTTTCAGTATCTGCACTGTGAGTCTATGAGTCTTTTCTTTAACTCTCTCACCTTTCATATTCTTAATTTTCCTCACTTGGAAAGCTCATTGCTAGCATGGGCAGCAGCCTGCCCTTTGGGAGAGAGATTTGGTGCACACCTTCTCAAGCTGCTGAGTGTTAGAGATGTTCTTCATAAGATATCTCCACTCAGAAAGAACTTTCACCATTTCCATCATTATCTATGTGAAACTAGTATACATTTGTATTCTCCACCAGTCTTCTTGGCTTACTGTAACAAAATGCCATAAGCCCGATCGCCTTAAACAATAGAAATTGATTGCTTATAATTCCAGAGTTTCAGACGTCAAAGTTCAAAGCATCAGAAGATATGTTAACTAGTAGTGATCATTTTCTGAATGGTAGCTGACTCCTTATAGCCTTTGATTAAAGGGACTAGGCAGGTCTCTGGGGCTTGAAAAAAAAAAACGATAGTAATCCCATTCATGCTAGTAACTGATTTCAACATTTGAGTCTGGGAAAACACACAATCAGAGCACAGCTAGCTCCTCTCTTGTCACTTTTTATCACTTCAAGGTGACTGGGGAGATCAAATACTCTTGCTTTGCTAACATCTGACTATGTAGCTTTAGACAAAATCTCTAATCATCTGGATTTTTTTATTTTTTTTTAATTTTTTTTACATTGGTAAAATAAAAATGAAATCTGAATTTATTAACATACCTTGTTCATAATACATATTAACCTATTGGCCTGAAAAAATATACACATCTTCTTTCAGCCTTTTAAGATGAACACAATAGTATTGAGCTTGTGGGAATGATGTGAGGTAAAAACTATAAAATGGTAGCAGGCTCTTTTATTTAATGATTACTAGAGTAGCTGTTCTTCTTGGATAGCTTTGACTGTTATCCCTCAGGGCCCTCCATTTTATTTTTCAGCTGGTCTTTCACCTTGGTCTCAGACTCAGTAAGTATGCTAGGCTGGGTGTCCAATGAGCCCTGCAACTCCGCCTGTCCCCTCCTGGAACTGAAATTAGAAGTACAATCCATCATGCTGGGCTTCTTTGTTTTGTTTTCTAGCGTGGTTCTGTTTATTAAAAGTTCAAAATAAGCAAAGCTAATCTATGATTATTGATGTCTGAAGTCAGAAAGAACATTCCCCTTTTGGGTGGGTCAGTGTACAGAAGTTTCTGTCAGGTGTTAGTGGCAGGTTTTTTTTCAATTTTAATATTTCTATCAATTTTATATGATATAGTTTGATCATATTTACCCTCACTCTTCCTTCTAACTTCTCCTAGATCCACCGCTGTCTCCCTACCCTTCCCAACTCCATGTCCTTTTTTGTTGTTTATTTGTTTTTCTGAATGATCTATCACGTCTAATTTGTGCAGATCATATACTCCTAGAAGTGGGACCATCTCCTGAAGCATGCTTGACTTACTTTGGGCTACATCTTAAAATACTCTTTCTCCTAGTGGGAGGGCTGGTCCTGTCCCTCGCAAGTTTCAGCACTCAGGACAGTGGGCCCTGCACCTCACCTTGGCAGCATAGCAGAGCTGGCCCAGGTGGTGTGGCTACAGGTGAGCTGGCCCTGAGGGCCTGAGCAGGAGAAGTGGCCCTATCCCTTGTTGCTTGCAACAGTGGGAGAGCTGGCCAGGCAGCGATGGAAAGCTTATCTTGGTGGTGAGAATAAAAGAGAGCTGGCAGGTTGATCAAGCCAGCTACTACCTAGGCCTAGAACCAGGGCTATGAGTTGTCCCCCTCATCCTCCCAACATCCACCCCATCTACAAACTGCTGGAGCACATGAAAGGGCTGGTCCTGTAGATGCAAAGCTGCAGGATCTCTGTGATATAGGGCAAAAACAGGATATCCAAGAGGAGTCCCACTAAGGGCCCAGTATTGACAGTGTAGCAGAAACCAGAGGCCTCAAGCCAGACCAATGACTCATTGCAATGAAGTCTCACAAGTAGATATATGATCCGAAGGGTACACTGTGTGACTCACTGAGACACACTACATACAGCTTTCAAGATGAGATTTTTTTCTTTTATATTTCATTTTGGGGAGAGGTTACAAGGGCAGAGGGTAGATACTAGGGGACAGGGAGATGAATGGGATTGGGATGCATGGTGTGAAATGCACAAAAAAAAATCAGTAAAAAGTTAAAAAGAAATTTAAAATTCCGTCTCTCCCTTCCCTGGAAGCTTTTAACTGCCAATAGCTCCTAGAAGGAGGAGGCTCTGAGCCCCCCTTCCTCCACGTTAGTGCTGACCAGCTTGGTCTCGTGTGGGCCTCATGCAGACTACCAGAACTGCCATGACTTCATGGCTGCAGCCGTCCTGTCATGTCTATAAGACACCGCTTCATTCTTGTTGTGTGATTCCAAGTTCTTCCAATCTTTTTGATCCTTGACGATTCTTCCACAATCGTCCCTGGGCTTTGGTGGTGGGTTGAGAGATAGATGTAGGTGCTCCAGTCGTGGCTGAACATTGAGACACATTCTCTGCACTGTGATCAGGTCTGAATTTCTGTGTTCACCACTATCCATTGTACTAAAAACTTCTCTGACGAGGTCTGGGAGCATCACTAATCTATAGGAATTTAGAGGCAGTTTGCGGTGACTCTGGCCATTTAGCGGAGTAATAGTAGTATGTTTACTCCTGTGGCCTATGAGTTTTCCAGTCTTGGGCTCCTGGACAGATTTTAAAATACCAGGCACAAGCTTTCTCTAGTGGACTGGACTTAAATCGAATCAGAGAGCAGTTGGCTACTCCCATAACATCCTTGCCTCTCTTTCATCCGTGGGCATATTTTGTTACACTGGTCGTTATTGTAGTTCACAGGATTAACAGCTGGGGAAGACTGTTGAACATGTTCATTTGTCGTTTGTGTGTGTGCATGTCCACATGAAAGCCACCGTTTGACATTGGGTATCATCTTCAATTGCTTTCCTTTTGGATTTTTTGAGACAGAACAACCCTGTATTTTATCCGCATTTCTGTCACAAACACTGAATCCATTCCAGCATGGTCTTTCAAAGGCCAGTAAAAGAGGCAGAGTCGGTTACGTATGCTGTACAGGATTTCAGGGGGACGCCAGAGAGCACCTAGCTCCTCAGCTGCCCACGCCTTTCACAGGCCAGATGAGGTAGCCCCCTGTGTGGAGCAAGTCTGTGAGGCTGGACTGGAGCCAGGAGAGCTGTAATAAGCACACCAGTGCCAGCTTCTGGCTCCTGGCTCCTTGGGTGGCATTCCTTCATTCCTCCAGCTTTAACTGTTTAAAAATCAATTAGCACTGGTCATTAGAACACAAGCCACACAGAGCTCATTGTCCTAGGAGTGGCTCTGCAGGCCCTGGGGCTCCAAGTGAAGTTTGGCTTCCTTTCTGCAAATAGAGTATGTCAACATCCCCCTTCTGTGGTTGGAGTGATGACTTCATGCCCATGCCCTGACTCTTAGAATGCTTGGAGACATAGACTCATATCCCCATTTTCTAGTCTTACCTCCATGCTTGTTCGTGACATCATTGTCTCTTCATGGTCTTTGACAGCACTGAAATGGAAGGTGGTTCCCTGAAGCTGCTTGCGATCACTCCCTGTGTGGGTCTTCGCTGTCTTTTAGCCCTTGTCCTGACACCTGAGTACCCTGCTAACCTTCAGGTTCAGTATTGCAAACATCTTCATGCTTTTCCAGTTCTTTCCTCCTGGTCTTTCCCCTGGTCTATATTCAGTGGTGTCAGAGACCCCTTTGCCCTAAAACCAACAAAACATTTATCACAATGAACACAAGCTACTCTCTTTTATTCCATTTTGCTGATCAAAGGAAGAATTCCTGCTTGTACTTACTGTGTCTAGGCTTCAGCGTCCTTCAGTACTGTTTGTAATGTTTTGTTATAGAAGTTATGTCTTTTTTGGCTTTGTATATTTTGAGATTCAGTCTCACCATGACGTCATGGGAGCTGGCTTTGTAGATCAAGCTGGCCGGGAACTTGAAGTGGTTCCCCTGCCTCTGTGTTCTGGGATTACAGGTGTACACCACCACATCTGTCTTTATTCAACTCATTATTTTATGCTTGTTCTCACCTTCATTTTATCTCCTGAATCTCTTTAGTAACTTACATCGATGAAGATGAGAATGAAATACCGGAATTATCGTCAAACAAAACATTCTTCGTCATGCTCAAGATTCCAGAGGAGTGTGCTCATGAAGAGGACTTGCCTCACTTGCTCACTAAAAGGGTGATTATGCCTTATGTGTTGGCTATGGAGGTCTTAACATTGGATTATAAACTCTGTTAGAGCGGTTGGCAAAGCTCTAGAGGGAGCAGCAGGAGGAAATGCTTGCCAGTGGGTCTTCTGTGTGGCAAAGCCGCCAGAGGTTGACGTTAGGTCTTTTCTTCAATTGCCCTCCACCTTATTTTTTGAGATAGAATTTTTCCCTGGGACCCAGAGAGCACCCAGTTTGGCTAGGGTGGCTGACCAGTGTGTCCCAGGATCCTGCTGTCCCTGCCTCCCCAGGACTGTGATTACTGGCGGGTGCTACTACGCCTGACGTTTTATGTGACTTCTGGAGATTGGACTCAGATTCTCCTGCTTAAGCAACAAATACTTTATGAATGAGTCATGTCCCCAGTCTCTCACACAGTGTTCTACATCTACAAAGGAGGTACATCTAAACTGTGTGAGTTGGGGGTGGAAGCAGATGAAGGAGCTGGTACTCAGGATAGTTATAAAATAAGGGCAAAGATGTTACAATATCTATATCTATATGCATATAGGATATATATGCAGGATATATATGCATATAGGATATATATGCATATAGGATACACACACACTTTCCTTGTAAAGGACAGGAAGATGGACGAACAGGATATGTATCTATTTCAAGGGTCTGTGCAGTGGTATACTGGGCTTGAGTATGCTGTATTGAGGATCTATAGGGGTTAATCTAGACAGAAAAGTAGGGGGTAGGTCATGGGATTTCCCCACCTTTGGGTAGACTATGTAAAGATTTTAAGTTGTAGACTGACAAGGCTAGAGTTTCATTTTCTTCCTCCTGTGTGGTTCTGGACAATACTCGAAGAGACTAGTTTTGAGACAGTGCAGCTGTGTGCATCTGAGAAATGAAGGCAGTTTCAATTGGGGCAGCCTTGGGGGAGGTAAGAAAGAGTTGAGATTTAAGGCATCTTTACTCAGAGGAACTGAGTGACTGGAAAGGGGTAAAGAAGAGTGTACCTCCAGCCTCCTGGTTGGAAGGTTGGCTACATGATCTGTGGGATGGGAAATGTTGAAGAGTCTTCTGCAAGATGGAAGCTCTGCAGACAGATTGAAAATTTTGTGGGTCAGTCTTGGCTACCAAAGATGGGAGTTCATGCCAGACCCAGGAAAATTCTGAGGCAGAGTCTCCTATATAGCCTACACTGTCCACTTGGTCACCGGGTTCCTGTTTTAAGCTTGTGCTAGCTGCAGGAATGCACCATGCAAAGCTTAATTGGCTTTATTCCTCTCCAAGACATGTGAAACACCTTAATCCATAAAGGAATAAATCCTCTGGTTTGAGCAAAGGAGCTTGGTTTTATAGAACCAGAAGGGCTTGAAGAAAGGAGTTCTGAGAAGAGAGTGGTTAGGTCATCCACAATGACATCCTTGTAAAGTGGAGACAGAGAGAGAGAATGGCAGAAAATAACTGGTTTGTTAAGCATAGATTGGTTCAGGATATTGGATTTTATAAGAAAATATAAAGCCTTGAGGGAACATCATTTTCAAGTTGAAACTGACCTGTCTGGCTGTCACTTTAATCCTGACTTCTCAGACAGTTGGACACACAGCCTAGTTTCAGCCTGGTAGCGTAGAAATTCGGCTTTGGTGACCTTGGTTGGATGTCTTAGCTTGCATAGGAGTGTAACAACAACAGCAAAGACTTCCTGCAATTTTTTAATTATTTAAAATATTTTATTTACGAGAATGCATGTGTGACTTTGTGAGTTTATATGCATCACACACATGGCAGTGTCCATGGAGGCCAGAGGGTGTCAGACACCAGAACTGGAGAGAGATGGGTTGTGAGTCACCTGCTCTGGGTGCTGGGAACCTGCGTCCTCTACAGGAGCAGTGAGTGGTTCTAACCACCGAGCAACCTTTCAAGGTACCTTCCGATAATTTGTATTTGACAGTTCTCATCCTTTGGTTGGGTGGCCACTCCAGGGAAAGTGTGACAAAAGCAGTGTACCAGAGCTACCCTTGGTCATTGCCATTCTGAGATTCAGGTCTCAGCCCATCATTCCTTGCTCCAAGAGCCTTCTTGTTCACACAGTTCTCTGATATTGTCATTCCAGCCAAGGATAGCACACTTGATGTTCAGCAGAATATTAAGTGTTTAACTTTTGAGTAGGTACATGGGATAGTGAATGGCTCTAATTCCAGCATTTAGGAGGCTGAGACAGGAAGATTGCAACTTGGCCTACGTAGTAAAGTTTCAGGCCAGCCTAGCCTGGAGTGAAATCCTGTTTCCAAAACCAAACAAAACCAATCAACCAACCAAACAAACTCTGAAGAAATAAAAACATCCAAACAAAAACACTTTTTAAAACTTTTGTTCTTCTCTCTTACATTACATCCCAACTGTAGTTTCCTCTCCCTCCACTCCTGCTAGTTTCTTTCCCAACATTTCCTTTCTCTAGATCCTCTGTTTCCCTTAGAAAAAAAAGTACAGACCTCCCAGGGGTATTCACAGAACATGGCCTAACAAGGTACTATAAGATTAGGCACAAACCCTCATATCAAGACTGGATAAGGCAACCTAGTAGAAGGAAAAGGGTCCCAAACACAGGAGAAAGAGTCAGATACCCCCCACTCCCACTTCTAGGAGTCCCAAAAGAACACTAAGGTGTGTAACCATAAGATATATGAAGAAGACACAGGTCAGACCCATACAGGATCCATGTTTGTCACTTCAGCCTCTGTGAGCCTCTATGAGTCCTGTGGGCTGTATTCTGTGGTGTCTTTAACCCCTTCTGCTATACTCATAGATTGGTACCTTGCTCAGTTGTCATCGGAGGGATGTCATCCAGCAACTGATGGGAACAGATGCAGAGACTCACAACCAAACATTAGGTGGAACCAGGGGGACCCAGCAGAAGACAGGGAGGAAGGAATGTAGGAACAAAAGCAGTTTTTAGATGATATTGTACACCATAAACATTGCTATTCTAACTATCAAGTGGACAGTGCCTAGAGCTTGGAATAAGCTCTGTAACCAGGACTCCTATGAAACCAATGCAAAAATCAAATAGATTAAAGAGTGAGACAGATGAGTCTCCCTATCTCACCCAAGTAGTCTTGTTAATTTTTATAACTGAGTTTGTGTAATGCAAATATAGCTGTGTGTGCAATGAGAAGCACCAGCCAGAGACCCTTAGAGTGCACACTAACTGTGCACCAGCCATACATTCCAACTTTTAATTCACAATTTTAGCTTTGACATTTTGCTGAGCATCTGCTATGTGCAGAGTGCTAGATCCTAGGGTAGATTTCGGAAGGAATGTAGGGAAAGAACAGGTTGGAAATAATAGTGGGTATTGGGGAGGTGGCTGTGGAAACATGGGGACCTGAATTTGGATTCCCCAAACTTATATAAAGCAGCCAGGCATGGATGTCTGAATCTATAATCCTATTATTGGGGTGAGTGAGTCAGGAATGGGAGACTGGAAGACCCCTAGAACTTGTTGGTCACCTAGCCTAGTTTGGTGAGTTCTGGATTCAGGGAGGGACACTAGCTCAAAAGACAGAGTAGAGAGCAACAGAGAAAGAGGACTTCTGGCCTTCATACAGGCAGGTGCATGCACACACACACACACACACACACACACACACCATACATATGTAAGTTTTTATGAAGAATGATAGGCACAGTCTACAAGAAGAGAGGCCTCTGGTTACTATTAATTACCAGTATTTTTAGTGCTTGAGAAAACATCCTTTGTAGCATCCTCTAGCTACCATCTCCTTCCCTCCATTCTGAGCAGTGAGTGTTGCCTTCTAGAACCTGAATTTCCCCTCGTCCATCATCCACCTTCTTCATACTGGAGCTCAAGAGCTGAATGACTTCTTCCCACCTTCCTCCGAAGCTCTTATTGTGTTTTGTTTTTTTCTTTCCTGATACTTCAGTGAAAGACACATCCCTCACCCGGGCTTCATGTCTGTCACATATAAATGTGAATTTGGCCCTCAGAATCTACGAGCTGTGTATGAAGAAACTCTCAAGTTTTTAACTTCTTGGAATACTGGTTCTTAATCTGTAGAAAGGGAATGACAAAATTCCTCTCATGTGGAGTTCTTTTAAAGGTTCCATTTCTAAGATGAGAACTGTACACACCCCGAGTACCACTGGATTTTCACTGAGTTAGGTGAGAGTGCTTGGTTGTGCAACTTCCTTGAGATTAGGTAGGAAAGAAGGTGTGCACCTTCATAGGGTTCTACTGCGTGTGGTATGTTACAATGCTTACTACTGGATAAGTTCATGGCTCACTAGGGTTTCCTGGTATACCTGGAGATGGCTAGCTCACCACAAGCTCGCTACTGGCGAAGTGAGAAGCCCAGAACAGAGCTGAGCAGGAGTGGGTCTGGTCTTGCTTTTGATGTAGCTGTGACTTTAATCCAGAGCTGTGCTCATGCTGAAAGTGGTACCAGATCCCAGTCCACGGCTGACTTACCCTAGAACTAATGCTTTGGGAAACAAGATTTTAATTTTCCAATGTAAATGCAGAAGAAACACTGTAAATTTCATCTGCCATGTATTCTCTAGTACAAAGGAGTTAGGATTTGTATCTTTGAACCTTGATGAGAGGACCAATCAAAGTTTGGAAAACCAGGCTGGAGAGATGCCACAGTGGTGAAGAGCACGTTTTGCTCTTGCAGAGAACGCAGGTTTGGTTCCCAGTATTCACATGTCGGCTCACAACATCTGTAATTCTAGCTCCAGGGCATCCGATGCCTTCTCCTGCCTCCATGTGCACCATGTACCTGTGCAGTACCCGTACAGACAAATGCAGACAAAATGCACAGGAAAGCAAAAATAGCTTTTCAAGGTCAGAAAACGATGATGTCACATAATGCCAATAACTACTGTCTGTAAATAAAACCAAACACTCCAAATAGATAGGGAAAAGCTAAGAAAAGGAAATGACAGATGATTCAGAGGTCTGAGAGAGTTGAACACCTAGAAAGGTACTCCCCCTATATTAGGATAGGCAGTATACACAGTGTGACACACAGTCCTACATCCCCAAAGTTGGGAAAATTTTAAGTCTAGTAAGAGTATGAGTGCGCGGAGGAGAGGAAAATGGAGAACGTTCATCAGGAGTGAGCTGAGTTGAAGATGCAGCTGCTTTTGGACCAGTAGTTCCACTCCTTGCCATGTGCCTCGGGGAGATTCTCACATGAACAAAGAGGTGCACAGAAATGTCTGGGGATGATTGCATCAGCATAGTTTACGGTAAAGACAACATGGACAGAAGTCACATGGCCATCGGATGAGCTGGGGTAATGATGTAATGCAGTCTCCATGGGAGCCTGAAGGGCCTTCACTGAGATGCCTCTTAGAAGTGACTCTCAATGTAATTTTCAGCGAAACAAAAAAGTAAGTATTAATTTGCTCACAATGGTACACATCTGTGGTCTCAGCTACCTGCGAATGTGAGGCAGGAAGATACTGAGTCAGGAATCTGAGACCAGCTTGATCAAGCTGTTAAGAACGTGTCTGAACATAAATAAAATGCTGTTATGATTCTATAAGAAGTAGTGATTTCTAAGCATAAGTGAAGAAAGGATGCATTCCAATGTCAGGGTGTTGGTCAGTGCCACAGAAGGGAGAAACTTTGCCTAATTCTTAATTTATGGTTTCCAGACCATAAATATACAGCCTTTCTGGTTTGGGGTTTAATGACAATACTTAGACAATTTGTATGAGTATAGCACCTTACTATAAAATGGGCTTTGTGTTAGATGGGTCTGTCCAGTTGTAGGCCAACAAAAGAAAGTGTTTTGGGCATCTTTAAAGTAGACTGGGCTAGGCTAGATGTTGAGTATGTTAGGTGTATTAAATGCATTTCAACCATTCTATTTAGAATATAAAGTAAAAAAGTAATATTTTCATATGCACAGTTTTGTCCCTTTCTCCCACTCGCTCCTCTCCCCTGTCTCCTAGCCACCATCCTTGCCATAGTGCTCTGTCCTGAGATGTCCCCCTTCCTCCTTCCCATCACATGTGTTCTATTGGTCTCCCCATCCCCTCTCTCGTCCAGATTCATTTGCGCAATTTCATGGGCCTCATTTTGGTTTTGCAGCCTCTACCTCATTTGTACATTTCTGACTTTTGGTAATTTCAATCCATGAATTGGCTCATTAGGAAATAATAAACAATCATAGACTATGGAGCTATTGCATGGCAAATGTGAAGGCATGAGGCGCAGGTGGCAGAAATATGGGCGTTATCATTTTTAGGATGAATGCAATTTTTACTGCAAAGCCTCCATATCTTTGGAACTTCATTACTTTGTTCCCTTGCCTGGGGAAATGCTGGACCTGACACTCAGGATAGACCTTTCTCCTACCAATGAAGTTCTGTAGAAGAAAGAAAGAAGCCCACGACCAGTGATGTCCCTAGAGCTGAGTGGCTTGTGCTGAACCGATCCATTTCCTTTTCTTCCCCTCACTCCCGAGCAGTTTGTGGTGCCTCTGTGAGCTTCTGCTTGAGGATCACTGACCGTAGTACCACTGAGGACACCAAGTGTCAGCTCAACTCCTAAGTGATGTAGACAATTCCCAGTGAGTTACTCGGACCTTATCATTAAGCCCATTTTTATTTTTTATTTTTTTGACAGAGTCTTGTGCAGTCTTGGCTGACCTAGAACTCACTATGAAGACCAGGCTTACTTTGAACTCCTGGGCAGTCTGGCTTCCTCAGCTTTCAGAATGCTGGGATTATAGGCATGTGCTTGACTCTCAATGAGACTCTATTTTGAACACTGAACTCACTGAGTGTTAGCCTGAGCTTTGATCTGTGGTCAGCTTCCTCTGTCTTACTCTTAGTCTAGAGCTCCTAGATAAGTGAATGCCTACCCAGAATGAATTCCCCTTTGTCCAGAAGTCCTTTGCTTCTGTAGCTGACTTGTGAGATGATCACCAGTGACTTGTGTGTTTTTTCTTGCTGTGTGTTTAGCTCACCGACGTATATACACAGTCACCATCGCTGAGTCGTTATTTCACCTCTGCTGACATCGTGGACTTCAGGTAATGTCGGGAACCAGCCACAGCAAAAATACCTCTTGCCAGGTCAAAGGCACGGGGATTAGAAGTACAGAATATAAGAAGCAAATGACAATAATAAAACGGAGAAACATATAGGATAGTATTGGGAGGGAACTTCAGTGAGTACTAAATTTCTCCCTTTTTGCCCGCATTTAATTTCCTGCTTAAAATACCCCTGACCCCAAAAGGTAGGAGTAAGACAAAAGACTGCATTAAACATGATACAAGGGAATGAACATACCAATCGAAAGTCATGGGCTACATTCACAGTTAAACATTAAATTGCTAGAACAAAACAAATCATGCTTACACCCTAGACCAAAATATTTCTGTAGGCAAACCACTCCCTGGGTGGAATCCAAAGTTCCATAAAGGGAACTGGAACTTAACTGGATCCTTAGACTTTTGTTTGAGGTAGGAACAAACTACTTCTCTATTCCTGGAGTACAAGGTCTGGCAATTAGCCACACCTGTTGACAATAACCTTGAGAGAGCAGAACTCTCTGTTCATTAACTAGGTGGGAGCTTTGTTTGAGGTGGAAGCACAATAACCTTTAAGGAACTAGGGTAAAACTCCAACCCTCTGACCTTTGGTCCGTGTGGAAGCAGGCTCACATTTTGGACCTCCACCAGGGTAGAGCACAGAACTTGGCCTCTTGCTCAGAAGAACACCCACCCACCTGTCCAGCCCATCACTGTTTACCCACCCACAGTGATTGCCAAGAGTCTTGGTGCAGGGAAGGGGCCAATAATAGATTCACAGTGCTGTGCTGGACTAGGTCCTGGAAACCACTTAGTTCAGCTGGTATCTCACAACGCAGAAAAAAACGGAAATGACAGGCCTAGACATAAATCTCAGAGAGTGATGGACCAGAAGTGACACGATCTATGTGCCACAAAAGAGATCTAGGATTATATTGTCCTCATTTAATATTAAGAATATAGAGACAAACCTGTCAGTCAAGTCTACCTTCTGCCTCCTTTCTTTAGTGCTGCTACCAATGACTAATTACACTCACTTCTACAGAATTAACAACCCCAACACTTTGTCTTGATTTTTTCCGTGTACAAATTTACTATACACAGTGTGCATGTATACATATATGTATATATATATACATATATATATATACATTTTTAAATTCCATAACATTTTTAATAGTTTGGGGATATAGACCAAAGCGTGTGTGTCTGTGTGCTTGTGTGTGTGTAAGGAGTCAGTTAATAATTATAGTTTTATATCACAGAGATTACTGAAAGTATTTTAAACAAGATTTATGCGACAAAGCCTTGTCAGTTGTTCCTCAGGTGTCACCGAGAGGCAGTCATCAAAGTCAGTGTTATCTATTAAAATTCTCCCACTCAAGCTCATAGAACTGTGGGAAGCATCTAACGCCGGTGGTGGCCTGATTGGGGAGGACAAGAAAGTATCTGCAGTCTAAGGCTGTCCTCATTCTTCTTCATAAGTCTCTGTAGGCACCCACTGCCCAATTCTGACCATATTGCCTTCAATCGTAAGTCACTGGCACAAAAATGCAAGCAGGAAAGGAAGAATTGCAGAGTTGGACCTCACACACTTGGCTTGATCCAACTTTCAAGGTTGCTGCCCTTGCAGGTGGGAAATGACATCCCTGTCCCTTGTACTTGTATTTACATTGATGGAGAGTTCTTTACCTCAGACCAGGCTGGCCCATCAGGAACCTGAAAATATTGTTTGCTGCATCAGTCGCTAGACCCCCTCCAGTGGTGGGCTGCTGTGGTAAAGCCCACAGAAAAACAGTTCTCAAATTTCTGCCTTTTATAAATCAGCCGGGAGTCAGGGGTGGCAGTTGGGGTTGGGGAGACAGGGGTCAGAGGGATGGCGTTCTCAGACTGGGTCAGGCAGCCTGATGCTCTCACTTTCCTTCCAGTTTGATCTTCTGAAATCCACCTCAGGCCCTTTTCATCAACTAGCTCATGTCCTTAGCAGTGTGCATACAGAACTGCTGCCTGCCCGCCTGTCCATCCTCCGTCGAGATAATTGCTAGAGGATAATTCAGGTCACTCTCAAACTCAGGTAGCTGGACTGGAGATAGAAAACGGGCTTTAAAGACTGCCTTTAGTGGCATCTTGTACCTGGGCTTTGTTAGAGTCTAAACTTCATTATTTATTTGGTTCACAGAGCTTGGCACACTTCTTTGTTATTGGGGAAAGTTTGCAAACTGAGTTCTCCCCTGCATTATAGAATGTACAGACAGTAGCCTATGTGACGTCTGGCCTCAAGAGGGAGCTCTTTGCCTATCCTTAGCAGGGCAGGGGCCTGATTAACTCCAGAGACTGAAGCCTCTATAATACTCTGCCTAGAAGAAATCTCTCTGATGTGACTGTTTATTGATTTTTTTTTATTGCTGAGCCTAATCTGGGTCATCTTAACCATATAACTAGAATAACTGTGAGGTAGCCTCTATAGTGCAGCTTAAGCTACTAATTAAGGATAGACCTATAATTATTTTTCATTATAAAAAATTGGAAAAAAATGTGTGCTAAAAGATGAAAAGGTTAGGGCCTCCTTGGGGTTGGAAATTCCTTAGGTCTCATTAATAAAGGATTAATAGTTTGTCATCATGTCTTAGGGGGCTCTGGAAGTGGATATAGGGGAGTATTACCCCCAAACACAGGGGGTAGGACTCACTGCTGGAGCACAGGGCATTTTGGGCAGGGGGATCATGAGGTCTGGAGCTAGGTCAGGGTAATGAACCTTGGCTCAGACCATAATCATGTTTATAGGTTAACTGGTTAAACCTGGGGGAGGGTGTGATCAAAGTGTGTGTGCGCGTATGTGTCTGAGAACTTACGAAAGAATAAATAAATAACATTTTTAAAGAACTCATTAAACTGACTAGCTCTGATGCATACACGTAGTGGCAACACTGAGAACAGGGAGATGAGCATAGAGGAGGAGGAAAGGCCAGGCTTCCTGCTCGGCCCTACAGGATGAAAGGCTGATGTAGGGGGTGCTGTGCCAACTCTCAGTCTTTCTTTATATAGCGGGGCTGTGTCCTTCCCTTTCAAAGGTGGACCCCTAAAGTGTGAGCAGTTGGTGATGGTTGTGTAATGGCCTGCAGAGGCGGGGTCAAGGGCAGTACGTTCTCCTAGGCCAGTGCACCCTCTGAAGCTGCTCACAGGAAGATGTGGAGCCAAAGAAGTGTTAACGCTAAAAGTGGCTTCTGAGCCTCACTGTGATTCTAGTTGTTCACTGTAATGTCTGTCTGTTTCAATGACTTGGCCTCCAGCGTTGAAAATGCCACGGTAACCTACCACTTGCAGTTTGGAGTTCCAGCTGAGGATGATGGCTTCATGGAGTTCATGATGAGTGAAGAGCTGGTGCTTGGCATTGTGCGACAGAATTTCCACGATAAGAATCTGTCTAGTTGTGAGAGTCTCGGGCAGGACCCAGAATCTCTCTTGCTCTATGGTAAGTAGAGAAAGCAAAGAATTAGGACCTGGAATGCTAAGCCAATGGACTGGGGCAGATGACCTGGCTTGGCAGTGTTGCTGCCTTGTCTTTTGCCAAGTCATTATTCTACTCACTCTTCCACAAGTCAGTCCTTCTCCGGAGCTTACAGCCTGTAAGCAGACAGAATAGTGAGAAGGCAGTGTAGGGAAAAGTAGGCCTTGGGGACTGGGCACCCCACACAGAACAGCAAACTCTCCCCGTAGTGTCCACCAGGGCCAATGTGAGGACCTCCACCTAAGCCAGTCACCTAACACCGTGTCCCTTGTTTGTTTCTCCTGGCACACTGAAGGTGGTTTGGGGTGCTCATACGTTAGTTATTGCCACAGTTGGAGTACAGAGAAAGGTCAAATGTCAAAATGCCTTCATTATCCAAAAGACTATCACATATTTGTCACCAATAGTACCCAAAATAAATGAATATTCACTTAGTTTGCAAATAAAAATAGAAATTATTTTGCAAATAAATTAGCATCCAAAAAGGGAAATGCTATTTGCCTTTTGAAGAGTATCCAGCATGCTGCATGCATTCTATCTATATGCATGTATTTGTGCATGCACACAGAGAGTAAAGTTTCTCTATTCATAATCAATGGTTATTCCAATTTGATCTACTATTACATACTCCAGAAAGCCAAACGTTTCAACAAATGTTGAAAATAATTTTGGTTTCTGAAAATTAGTGACTGGCCTAGTTTCGCTTCTGTTTCTGGGATAAAACCTGATGTCAGGTTCCAGTTTGTGTTTGCAGGAAACTCGGGGCAGCAGGAACTTCAGGTTTCTCATTATTATCACAACCACGGTCAAGAAATGAATGCACTTACACTCGGTGCTCAACTCTTTTCTCTCCTCTTACCCCATTCAGAGCTCCAGACTGCAGAGTGGTGCTGCCCCCTTTCAGACAGTCCGCTCACATTAATTAAGACAGTCAACACTACCCCCACCCCCAGACAGGCCCACAGGCCAAGCTGACCTGGGCAACCCCTCATTGAGATTCTTTTCCCAGGTGATTCCAGCTTGGGTGAAGCTGACAGAGGAAGCTAGGCATGGCAGTAACTTTGGTTTGTCTTTGTTTTCTTTCTAGAATGAAGTGGTGGAGGTTGGTCTGTGTCAGAAAGCAATGCTCTGCAGTTTCAGAAGGAAGAGAATTTAAAAACCTATCTTGTAGTGACCAGCAGGAGAAGACAGTCCATCTTGCAGTGACCAGCAGGAGGAGACAGTCCATCTTGTAGTGACCAGCAGGAGAAGACAGTCCATCTTGTAGTGACCAGCAGGAGAAGACAGTCCATCTTGTAGTGACCAGCAGGAGGAGACAGTCCATCTTGTAGTGACCAGCAGGAGGAGACAGTCCATCTTGTAGTGACCAGCAGGAGGAGACAGTCCATCTTGTAGTGACCAGCAGGAGGAGACAGTCCTCCCACTCATGCTGCACAGACAGGGAGCCTGGCTCCATTTGCTGAATTCGTGAGAGCTGTCCCAGCTGGATTCAGGAGCTAGATGAAGTCTGGGGCGAACCAAAGATCCACAACCCAAGATTCCTGCTGCCTTTGAAGCACTGGCTGCCTCTGCTCGAGCATGGATGATTTTCCTACAGTACAAGCAGAGTACCTGGCTGTTAACCTGTGTTAATGGGGCAAGGCAAAAGCAAGTAGTCAGGGGACGGGGAACCGAGTCAATCGTTCTCATTCAAGCCCTCTCTCCACTCACAATTATATTTGATAGACCTCTAAGCAAAGGATGGGAGGGACAGGAAGGTGCTTCTAAGACCTAAGGACCATAACTCTTTGCCTACCTCCACCACCTATACCTAGGTGTCTGAACAACTGAGCTCAGCCATATCACTGAGTGTTACATATAGAAATAAGTTCGATGCATCTTGTTTCTCATCTCTTCATTGTTCCTGAGATGCCTCAGTATCTTTTTTTTTTTTTTTTTGGAAAACATAAGTCTGTGAGTTTTGAACATGCTGCCATCTTTTAAGGTTGCCAGCCATTCAGGTTTTTATTACTATCATTGCTCTTTTATGTAAAACTCATCAAAGGATCATTAGGACTGCTTAATTTCTGCTACCGATACCACATACTGGCTTTGCATTGACTGGTGTCACCAGCCTTTCTGTAGGACACAGTTTCTTGACTTGTTACTTGTGTGTCTTACTGCAGATGATTGCTAAGCAGAGACTCTCTGTCCTTTTGAAACTGTCAAAAGAGGCATGCCTGTCCTTTGGAAGGCCACAAGTTAGTGACTGTATCAGTCACCTGCAGATAGAGAATGCCTGTCATGAGGGAATAGAATATTTGTTTTGTTGGGGGAAATTGTCTTTCTGGAAATTCTGGGGGAGAGAGTTTCATTGTGGAATGAGAAATTTCCCAGCCTGATACCTCAGATTGATGAGCCATGGATGCAGGTCACTGGCAGACAGCTATGTATCAGTCTGCATCAAATGTAGGGCTCTGAACAATGTGAATTTGCTTTCTTATTTATCTTCTATATGTTATAGTAATAATAATTTCTATATAGTAATTTATTGTTTCATTTTCAGTATAGTTCCTTAAACTACTGAAACGGGTGGATTTTTCTTCTTCCCCTTTATTTTTTACGTCAAATGTGAACCTCTCTGTGCCTGTACTTTTTGGAAAGTGATGAGGAATTTTAATATATAATGCCTTAGGAGCATTAACAATAAATTATTTTTTTACAACTGTGTTGTTTTATTATCTGCCTCTCAGGCCTTCTCTCTCTAAGACTATATGTTTGGTGGGCTTTGCCTTGCAGAAAATGGGGGTAGAAGTGATTGTGTGTGTGGAGGCAGCTTCCTCTTCTGTGTGAATAAGATGGAGTCCAATTGGACCAGGCTGGGCTGGGATTGGCTGTGGCCTCTCATTTCTCTGCAGTCCTTCTTCTGCAAAGTGTTACAGTATTAATCTGCAATGTCCCCCACTGACTTATGTGTTCAACACTTGTTTAGAGATAGTGATACTCTTTGGAGAAACTGTATAACCCTTAGGAGGTGCTCCTCACTGACCTCAGGAGGCTGCTACAGGCAACCACTGGAAGCCCAGTCCACTTTGTCCAAGCTTCATATTCTGCTTCTCAGTCCACCATAATGTGGAATTCTCTCACTCCCCACCATGTACACTTGCTGCCATTAATTCTGCTTTCCCTATGACAATGGGCTGAAACCATGAACCAAAATAAATCTTTTCTGCAGGAAATTGCATCTTGGGTGGGGCTGGAAGAATGGGTTTGTCCATGTATGGAGATGGGGTTGGGTTTGTTCCTCTTTTTTTTTCCCAGGAGAAACTAAGATAAAAATAACTTAGTTTTGATTTTGACCATTTGACCCTCGAGAAGACTTTCCAAGGTTTGGCTTTGGGTATAATACATTATGGGTAGCTAAAGCACACGGAGATGTTTTGTAAAAACAATCCTGTGCACATACACATTGCTTTGTTATAGAAAGCAAGTCTTGCGGTCACCGCATATCTTAATGACAAGAATAACACCTGGTGCATCATAAGGTTCAACAAGTACCTGTAAAATAATTGAAGGATTTAGAATGAAAACCTGTTGCTTTCAGAAAGTCATTTAGCTATGGGTAGAAACATTTGTCCTGTTCTCAACAAAACTTCTAGCCAGGTGTCCACCTTTATAGCTTTGCAATTTAATTTTGTTGCAAAGATAATTTTTATCTTTTAAATTTTTTATTTATTTCATTTTATTTATGAATCCGTGCATGAGTGTATGTATGTGCACCATTTGTGTGTAGGAGTACGAGGAGAAGAAGGCATCGGATCTCCTGGAGCTGGAATTGTAGGCAGTTGTGAAAGTCACAGTGGCGCTGGGACTGACCCTAGGTCCCTTGCAAGAGGAGCAAGCACTTTTAATCACTGAGCTATCTCTCTAGCCACCGGTAGATGTGAGTCATATGGTTTGGTGCATGCATAGATGATACCAGTGAAGAAGAAAAAAATAAAAGAAGTTGCTAATGTGATTAGAGAAACAGGATCTGTGTGTATGAAACAGGAAACAGTAGAGAAAAAAATAGCCAGGTTTAACTGTAAACCATACAGACAAACTGTAGGATTGTGGGTCAGAGAAAAGAATGGCCGGTGGAGTCTGCTTGCAGACTTTGTGTAAGAAGTAGACTCATGCTGACCCTGAAGTGCTAGTGAGATTTGAACAAGCAGGTTTGTCCTTTGTCCTTTGCCCATTTGTCTTTTGAGAAAGGGTTTCTCTGTGTAAGAGTCCTGGAACTCACTTGGTAGACCAGGCTCCCTTTGAACCCACAGAGATCTGCCTGCTTCCACCTCCTGAGTGCTGAGATTAAAGAAGTGGGCAACCAAGCCTGGCTTGCCCTTTAGACTGATAAAGTGAACATGGTTTTGTTTGTTTCTTTGCTGTACTGGGGCTTGGACCTAAGATCTCACACATACCAGACAAACACTGTGTCTCCAGCTCCTTTTTAAAAGATGCAGATGCTTGACATGAACCCAGAGTTCAATGTGGGAGCAGTATCCCATTCTCCCTTCTCTCCCATCATTAAATAAAGTACATGACCCTGTTGCTGCTCTCCTCATTCTGTATTCTGTGCATTCTTTAATGTCTTTTCTATGTTTATTGACAATGATCCACAACATCAGAAGGCAGATCCACATTTTATAGCTAGAAGCCAAAGCCTGGAGGTGGGATGGGGGGAGGAAGAGGGAGAGGGAGAGAGAGGGAGATCATCTATGGTCCTATAGTTTGTGAAAGACAAAGCCTAGCCCACTGGGTAGTCACCCATGATGAGTAACCACCCATCCTAGTGGATGCCCTGAGGGCATCCTCAGTTCAGCTTTGGTTGGCATCAGAGAATCTGTCAGGGACACAAGTGATGGGGGAAGAGAAGAACGGACAGATGTAGCCGCTGGGCTGCAGAAAACCAATGAAAATGACGCTGTGGCATTTCTCCATTGAAAATAAAAAGATCAGAAGAATAGGATTGATTTATATTGATCTATTTAATAGTTGGCTGAACCAGTATATCTTCAGATTTAGTCAAATGTGTGAACTTCAGAGACCAGGTTTGGAAAGGGCCAGTCATGTGCAACAAGAGAGAATCTCGTTTCCTCTGTAGGCTCCTCTGGTGACCTGGAAATGCAGTTGTCCCCCTCATAGCCTTCCATCCTGGTCCCCCCACCTATTCCCATCTATCATGCTCCTCTCTTCCTCTCTATGACCTTCCACACCTGTTCCTCCATGCCCTCTATCCTGTCCCATACCCCATGCCTTTCCATCCCATCCCCTATCCCCATGTCCTTCATCCTGAGAGACTTAAGAGGCTGTTCTAATCATGTCAGCATTTGAACTTGTCACTGGTACACTTTCCTGCCTTGTCTTCACCCTTTCCTATTTCTCTCTTCTGTTTTCAATAAGAATTTATTCACAGAATAGGAGTTTATTTATAGGTGCTAACATGAATGTAAGCGGAAACCACAAAGCCTGCCGTGGCTTGTACAGCGGCTCTCTCCATTTTCTGTGCGCTGTTTGAAGGCCTGCACAAAGGAGGGGCATTTCTCGTTATAGCTGCGACTTGAAAGAGTAAATTAGAAACTCAGCCTCAGTTTCTTTCTCAAGAACAGGGATTCTGTAAGTGAGATACACACACACACACACACACACACACACACACACAAATCTATGTTGGTGTGTACTTTCTGCAAGGCTTGAAATGTGTGGGAAAGGGCAGCGGCATCAGCCTGTGGTAGCCATTAGGATTCTTTTTTCTGAGAATTAAAAACATATATATGATAAAACTGTTACCCCCATTTTCCCCTTCAACTCTTCTCATATCGCTCCAATATAACCCAATCCACTTCATGCTTTTTTTTTAAAATAACATGCTAAGTCCAGTTAGAGCTGTGTGTGTGTGTGTGTGTGTGTGTGTGTATTTGTGTGTACGTGTGTCTGAGTGTGTATATGAAAGAGGACAACTTTCAGAGATCAGTTCTCACCTCCACTGTGGAGTCCTAGGATAGAACCCCGGTTGTCAGGGTTGCCTGGTAAGCACTTTTACTCCCTGAGCTATTACGGCATTTGCATCCACAGCAGATGTTTTGAAACCCCCCAGGGACTCTTCCGTCCAGACAGGCTGGTGTGCAGTTTCTCTAGCTTACCATATAGCCATGCTTCTTCGTCTCTGCATTTAGATTTAGTGAGGTCCTGATAAAAGATATTTGCGTTTGGGTGACAGATAGTGCTTCACTGGATGAGGTGCAAACAAATACAGCTT